GTGTCATTTATTTTCGGTTATGTCGGGTAAGTCTGGCTGAGTACATTCTCGTACTCAGGGTTTTATTCCCACTTGTTGCAGATGGGCAGATGTACTATGGCTATTGTATCAACTGCCTCTATCCTGCGATGGGTGATGCTTAGGACCATGGGCATGGTCATTCCTTACGTCTCATCTAATGCTTTTGTTGGAGATGATCATTCGCTGGCACTATATTTGAACTCCGTGTGAGTGTGTGTGGTTTTAAACAAATGACTTCCGCTACTTTTTATTTGAACTTGTTTTGTAATAACTATGTTTAAACTCTGATGTATCTGTATGCAAACTTTTATGTAATATGTGATTGGTGACCGCTAAACTTATTACGATCATGGCTGGGACACGAGTTGGTTTGAAATCCTTCGTGATTTCACGGACTACCGGGTTATACGGGCTTAAGTTTGTTCAATCGTCTGCTCTGGTGGATGATTTTCTTACTTAATTTCGTATAATTGGTCGGTTCTGTTACAGTCTCCAGATAAGTTTACTATAAAAATATATTCTATAATTAATTCAATGATCTTATTTGATATCATAGAAAATAGTATTGCCTCTGTTCGAAATTGTAAGACGCTTTGACTTTTTTAGGTGCAGTGTTTTTGCTATGCACTTAGATATATAATATGTCTAGATACATAGTAAAAATAATGTATCTAAAAAAGCTCTTACAATTTGAACGGAGGGACTACTTTTTATATATAAATTTGATCAAAATTTAAATGGTTTGACTCCTAAAAATGATTATATTCTTTTTAGGATGGAGATAGGATATACTTTAAGAATCTAGTATAAGTCTGTTTAGTTCAGTGGTGAGATGTGAAAAAACAACGGAGAGCTATGTGCTATGAAAAAATTGTAAGTTATTTGGTTAAAATAACTATGAAACATATCCACTCTCTTTATTTATCTTCCTTGAAATAGTCGTAAAGTGTACCTCCATTTTCACCCATTTAGCAGAAAGCTGAAAGCCAAAAACAGAGTCTAAGGTGTGAAAATTGTACTGCGCTGAAAATACAGCTTATGGTTCTACCTATTTAGTTGGCGTTCTGATTTTTAGTAGTAGAAGCACTTTTCAAAATTTGAACCAAACACAACTTATGACTACATGAATTTTACAAATCGAGTTCATCTTTGTTTACTTGGCAGTTGGCATGAAAAAAAACAATTGGCAAAACATGAACTAGAAACATGTTTGAGGTCTTCCCACATGTACCCCTAGCCTGGTCGTAGTAAGAAAATCATTGTACTCATCAAGTTAACGGAATCTAGGTGTCCGTTTGAGGAGCGTTGACTCCTCCAACTAACTAAGCGCAACCGCCCCCGTCCCAGCCCCGCTCCATCTGGGCCGTTCATCTCGCGTCCAAGCTAGCTAGTACTAATCACCTCGCGATCGAGTATGCAGGGCCGTCAAACATTTCATTTCAGCACACAAAATTGTCTGCGTTTTTCAATCATTGGAAAGAGCTTATTTTAGCCCTGCGCGGCCGCCGCTTCCTCGGAGTTAGGCCTAAAAAACCACTGAACTTTGTACACAATTGTGAACCTTTTGTGATGGTTTTGTTTTTGTTTCCGCTGCTAGTAGAGTTTGTAATCTCAACAACCAAACTAAACTGGTGATCAAGAGTTGGCCGGGTCATCATTTGGCAGCCAAAATATAAATGGAGTTTCTTGTACACGTATGCACTGGAGACAGACAGGCATATAATATATACAAACAAATGACGCGCCTGCATTAGTATATCAGCACACTCATGACGTGTCAGGGCAGCGGCCACAAGGAAACACGAATTCCAGTTAGGCACCTGGAGACGATCGAGCTCGTTTCCGTTGAACAGCTAGCTATGGGTTTGCATGGATCATCATGACAAATCATGGTTAATGGAGTAGGCTAGCTAGCTTGATCACATAGTCTAATAATATATATTAAATATATATAGGATAATTTATTTAGAACAGCAGCCCAAACATGCATTCCCATCAGGAGAAGCAGCTTGATCCCTGGAGGATGGAGACGTCCGTGCTACTGCAGAAATTGGGTAAACAACAAGCAGAAGATCGAGGATATTAAGTGTTGTAGATTTTGTTTATTAACCGACTATATATAAATAAATTGTTCAGATTATTATTACTGAAAATATTTTTTAAATCTAGGGAATCAAATGCTGCTTCGGAAAACACCAAAATTTACCAGCTCATACACGTTTCATATCGTTCCACAAGGAAATCAAACGCACTGGATGGATGGACTCACTGGATCAAGTACCTCCAAATTTTGTTCAAATTGACGGCTGTAAATTAAAGATAGCCAGATTATAATTGATGGAGTGACCTGTACATTTCCATTCTTCTACTAACCAGGCACACACATCCGTTACTTTCTGAGTTGTCCGTCCAGCTGTGTACCATGGACACAGCAGGAAACCCGTCACCTTAATTTGGGTTTATTATCTTTTTTTTTGTGAAATTAAACTGTCGCCGTTAGCTAGTGTAGCATGATTTGGTGTGGATCCGACTTATTCTTCTCTCAGCTCAGCTTGGGATTTTTTTTCCGGACTTGCACTGTTTCGTGCATGCATGTGTGCAGTCCTTTTCGATGCATCATGCATTAGCATTAACCGTGCCTCGTTTACTGACAGCTACAGATAACAGGTAGGGCGCGCCGGTATTTAGTGGGTGTTTGAGACTGCTTCGCTTCATGTATTTTTGTCAAACAGTTTAAGCTTCACGTACTCTGTTCGAGAAAAAAAAATATGAAGTTGTGAAAGCATTTAAAAAAGTGCTCCATAAACTCTAGTTTTTTTTTTAAAACTGCTCTACGGTGAAGTTTGTGGAGCAGAGTCTGTAGAGCAGTCCTAAACACCCCTTAGTTCTAGTTCTAAATATAAGTACAGCGTTTACTATGCGTGCAGTACAAAATATGGTACTCCTGTCTCGCTTCGTAGACGAGTAGTACATCGAATTGATTTGGCAATGTTGAAACAAAAGAGACGTCTCCAACTGTATTAATTTTTTTTGAAAAAAAGTTTAATTTGGTGATGCGTCCGGCGAAAGAAACATATGGGAATGCTCCTTTGAAACAATTCAATTCATGGATATATATCTATAGCACCCTTGTCATATTTTTTAATTAAACAGAATTGCTTGAATCAAGTCGTCTTCCTAACAAATAGATAAAGGATCTGTTTGGATCTCATGTAACTAATAATTAGACGCTAATAATTACCTGTGGTTCTGTTTGGATCCTTAACTAATAGGTAAGCTGCTAATAATTAGCTGTGATTTTGTTAGGATCCTTAGCTAATAAGTCAGCTAATGTCTTACCTACCACCCAACAAATAATTACCTATTAGCTGGTTTTTCTAAGCTACCAAAAATAATAATTAGTTTTGGATAGATCCAAATGGGACCAAAGACTTCTAGTCTTCAAATCTTTGAATATCGAATTGGCCTATCTAGTAATCAGGAGCTGCCAAATCAAGAGTTTATTTTTCAACCTTCAACTAACACAATAGTCCGATTTCGAACCTAAACTACGAAACAAGATATAGGACATGGACGCCCTCTAACTCTTTTTTATTCAAAGATTCACCATATAACTATTGAAATCTGACAAATTTGGTCCAAGAGTGGTTTTCTATTTTCTAAAAATGAAATCTATATGTTGATAACCTATTTATAGTTATTTGGAACTTTATTTATTCATATATATATATATATATATATTACTCATAATTGTGCTAATCATTTATTTAAATTATCGTTTTGCATTGTATCATACCTGGAGATCGACCAAGAGGATATGGCAGACCATGAGTACACGGAAGAATGTGAAAGACAACACAAACCTCTGGGATGCCATGCTCCACCCTGTGTATGGATCCTATATAGAAATTGTTTAGCTAGCACTTTACTTTATGTTGACGGATTGTGATTGACTAGGTTATATGTTTTCAAACAAGGTAGTGCCTCAAAAATCACGCAATCAACTAGTCATGTGATCAACAAAAAGTAGAGTAAAAACAACAATTTAAATGAATAACAAACATGACTACAAGCAATGAAACACTAAGAACATGAACAAATAAGATCCAAATAGAATACTAACAGCCTAAAAAAATGGTACTAGTTTCATATTTTTTGAATTAAAATATATTACTTATATTTTCAAAAAATATCAGACCATTTTATTGTTTTAGAAAGTAGGCAACCACCTTTAAACTAGTTGAAGGACCAAATTTGTCTGGATATCGAATCAGGCCCGGCCCGCTAACAAACCCAACAGATTTTCTTCGTGGGCCTGACCGCTAGAAGGCCACGCCGGCCAGAAGCGGCCGAATCTACTCGCAGATGTAGAGGTTCTTGGAACGAGAACGAGCGGTTGTTATCATCATCTCATCAGACCACGCAAGGATGCAGCGATGCAGACTATTTGCCCTCAGATTCTGGTTGCAAATTTTGGAGTCAGGGATCGAGAGGCGGTAGAGCTACGCTCCACCATAAGATCGTGCCCAATTTCATGGCATAGAGAAGAAGGGATGTAGCATACATGTGTATATACAAACATATATACAGGCAAATCATCTAGGCACTCAACACCGATATATATATATTTACATAATTATATTTATTCTCATCCATCCACACCGTACATATATACAGTCAATCTATATACTCACGACAATATTGTTTGATAGCTTATATAGTCTGCAACTCTGCACACACAACAACTAGCGTACATACGTACTCGCAGATCGACGCCTTATTTTCTCTCTCTCTCTCTCTCTATATAGCACACATAGCAGCAACCAGACTACCAGAGGCAGCAGCACACGTATGTCCGTGGTCAGAGAACGACGTACGCTACGTTCTTAGCTAGCTGATGGAGATACAACTACGTAATTAGCTAGGACGGTCACCACCCGCCCGTCCGTCAGATTCTGATCATGCATGCGCGCGAGCGCCTAGAGGAAGCCTTTGCCGGCGGCGGCGGAGTCGATCTTGACGTGGTAGCCGAGGTGGAGGGCAGTCTGGTGGTGGTACTCGTACTCCTGCTGGCCCTGGGGCTGCTCCGAGTACTGCGACGACGAGGCAACGGAGGCGGCGGCCAGCACATGCTGCTGCTGGTAGTAGCCATAGCCACGCGGGTCGAACGACGCCGGCAGCGCTTTCAGCTCCGTCGTAGCCCCGCGGACCGCCGCCTGGTCTGCTTCTGCCGCCCCCTCCTGCAGAGCTCGCTCAGCCTCTGCAACCTGTTATTACAGTACAGTACAGTACAAATTTGATCAAGAGAATACCCCTACTCGCTAGCAGCTAGCACTGAGTTCCTGAATCCTGACTGACTGTGTGCCTGTGTTAGTTTAGTGAATGGTCATCAGTCGTATACCTTGGCCCGTAGGAACATGTTTTCGTTGTGCAGATCTGCTTCCTGCAAATATAAATAAGATCAGAGCAATTTAAATAGGAGTCCTATCAACCAAAATGCACACATGAGGAATGATGTCACAATGAGCTTACCCTTTTCTGCATATATTCGATCTCCGCGAGTAGCAGCTCATTCTGAGAAAAACTCAAAGGTGGAAATAAATAAATTACTATCAGGTTTCAAGAGCAAGGTGTCCTTGAATTTGCGATGCCCAAATTCATACTAGCTTTACATTACCTTCTTGGACCGGATTCGGCCAACTCCTCTTTCAAGCCTGCTTTCAAGGCCCTTGAGCTCCTTTGCGGTCATATTGCCGCCAATTGATTCACCCATCAGGTGGCTGGCAAGTATAGTTTACCAAAGGAACAGTTACTTCAGTATATGTCTACTATCCTATGGAGACGATCGAATAAAATTAGAACAGTTACAGGAACTAGTAGTTATTAGGCGGCTCATCACCTGTTTGAATTCTGCAAGGTTTGTATCTGCTGGCGCAGTTTTCCCGCTTCTTGCTGAAAGTATTGCTGTGTAAACTCCAGAGTTAAAACTTAAAAGTAGTTAACATTTGTTGATGCAGATCTTAATAAGCCGATCGATGTGGTGTGATCATAATTTAAAGTTTGCAAACAAAATCGAGAAAATCAAGGAAAAAACAGTGTGCTTACAAGAGAGTTGACATCTATGACTGGAGCTGTTCCTGAAGTGCTGGCAGAGGCTTTCTTGTACCTCTCAATCGTCGACCTTACGCTGATACAATAATGTTGATTACTTGTCAAATAAAATCAAGCTCTTGCTTATGAAAAAAAAGCATACAAGAAATCAGTGTGTACAGGGGATTTGTGTCTTGTGAAATGAAACACATATATATGTTTGTCAGTATGTTATCTATATCTGGCTGAAATATACTAGTTATAGTATCCATACTATAATAATAAGGCCGGAGAGAAAAAGGGTACTTGTTCCACCTAGGCATCAAGCTAGAGTAGAAGAATAATGTATGCAGGAAGCCAGGGACTAATATGCATGTGTAGATATCTGTTTATCTAAAAAAAATTCGCCGGTGACAAAACATTCATTCCAGGTCCAGGCTAACAAGTACCACGTACTACTCAACGTATGTATGTTCAGGTTGTCTTATTACGACACACGTTGCACACAAAAAGATGCAAACAAAGAGCCCCAAAGAAATGCACATCATCATCATTTGAATGGTGAGTCCAGCTCCAGCATAGAGGTTCCCGGTGTAAAAACACAACCAATCAAAGGCGCTCTTTAACTCCTTAGCACCGCCAAGGAAGGAGGGCAGGGAGAACCTACAGTTTCCATCTCCATGCAACATATACTTACTCTAGAGAGAGATTTCTATACAGTGTGCGCATGAAATGAAACAACCTTTTTCAGGGAGCTGAGGGCCATGCATGTGATGATTCATGAGTGCATGGCACAGAATGATAAAGTTGCCCAGGACTAGAACTTGCAGCTGTTCGTGGAACTGGGTCATCCTCATACCACAATATCGCTCGTTTCGTGCATGAACGAAAAAGTGATCGACCAAAGTCCCAGACTATCACACAAGTAGTATGATTCTTTTAATATCCATTGCACAAACAAACGCAGCAGCTACCAAATGTCTACGAGTAGCTAGGCCATGTTTGGATCAGCTAAAATAAGTTGCTAACTGCTAAAAAAAAGGGTTAATTGGATTCATGCCATTACAAATTCTGCGTTTCGGAAAAATACCATTACTATTCGTCTATTTAGAAACATACCATTATAATTCGTGGTCTACTTGAACCGTGCCATTTTATACGCTCAGGACGATGTTGGGTCCACCTGCAAGTCATCGTATTTTAGTATCGTCCAAAGTAACCCTTTCTTCACCCTCTCTTCTCTGCTGATGGTGGGCCCAAACAGTCATATCCATCTTCTTCCTCTCTATTCTCTCCCGTGCACACTCTGCCCATGCCGCCGCCAGCCGCGCTCGCCCCTCCCGCGGTGTCCACCCGCAGTCTCACCGCCAACCGCGCTCGTCTCTCCCGCCGCCGGCCCACCACCATGGGGACGAGCGGGGCACCACTGCCGAGCAGGGCCTCGTTCGCGCACCTCGCCGGTCACACTGTCGTGTACATCGTACTCGTCAGCGCATCTTGTCATCTCCTTTATACTAAGTCGAGATCCTACAAGAAGCTAGCCAAAGCAGAACTCGATCCATCTGGGCACTATAATATATCTCTACTAATGCCTAGAAGACAAGCAACGAGCAACGAGCAACGAGCAAAAAGCAAAAAGCTGCCACTCAGTGGTGGCGACCACGTCCAGCAATACCATCGCATTGAACTTGAACGCATCCACGGCCTCAAGCAGGGGGCACTCAGTGGCGGCGAGCTTCTTCCACAGCGGGTAGCACATCCCCCTCGCGGCGGGCCCGAGGAAGCACAGCATGTCGTCTCGGGCGGCGGCAGGCGCGGGCGAGTGGAGAGGCGAGGAAGAGGGCAGCGTGAGCGGCGGACGCGTCCGCATCCACGCAACAGAGGAAGCGCGCCAGGACCTTAGAGTCGCGGAGGCACGTGAACGCGCCTGGGCGGTGGAGGTGGTGCAGGCTGGCGCTGCCCGTGAACTGCTGGTGTAGGGCCACGGGCCAACGAGCACTGCACGACAACGAGGCCGATGAGCCACACGGACACCAACCCGGCAGTGGGGCTGGCAAGCGGCATAGACGAATGTGGGTGCAGGAGCGGGAGGAGATGGGTTCCGCCATGGCCATGCCATGGGAGAAAGAGGAAGAAGATGGATGTGACAGGCGGGGCCCACTGTCAGCACAGAAGAGAGGAAGAAGAAAGGGTTACTTTGGGTAATACTAGAATATGGTGACATGTAGGTGGACCCAACTTCGTCCCGAGTGTATAAAATGGCATGGATCAAGTAGACAACGAATTATAACGGCATCTTTCTAAATAGACGAATAGTAATGATATTTTTCAGAAACGCAGAAGTTGTAATGACATGAATCCAATTAACCCTAAAAAAAAATCTCTAGCTGATCCAAACAATTCAGCTTGTAACCTGTTTTGAACTATTTAACCACCCTGCTTATATATAAAAAGCTATTAGCTAACTCTCTATAACTATTGCAGCTTATAAAAAGTTTCGCTGATCCAAATGGGGCCTATGTATTTCCACACAGTGGTGAAAAATCGAAATGATCAGTCACAAGCCTGCTTACTATTAAGTCATTAATGTGCTTATCATTACGAGCAAAATGATGGAAAGAAAGTTATCTATAAAGTGTGCTAATATAAATGGCCTTGCTAATTAACCTAAAATGGAGTATTTATCATGAATATAGTTACTGCTGATCGACTATTCAGATCATCACTAAAGTGATTTCAAAATTTAACACATCAGCGATTTTTTTGTGACGATGCCAAAATCCAAAAGGAAACTAGCTAGTTAAACTATAACTAATAATAATGAGTGGAGTTTATGAAAAGAATATCGTTTTATTTAATTTGGAAGGTTCATATAAGTTATAGTTTTACTAGTTTAACTATAACTGTTAGATCCATGCAAACACATAGGTTGTGCCCAAAAATGCATGATTTGCATATACAGATGCATAATCATATATGCTATATCACGTACAAACAGTTTTGTTTGAATTAAGAAGATGTACAGCATAAAATGAAACGGGAATAGCCAATGCAAACCATGACATACTCACCTGTTACTGGAATATTCATATAGGCGACCTCGGCTAGAGAAGATGACCAAAGCGATCTCAGCGTCGCAGAGGATGGAGAGTTCGTAAGCCTTCTTCAGCAGCCCATTCCTGCGCTTGCAGAAGGTCACTTGGCGGCTGGTGGTGTTCTCGATTCTCTTGATCTCAATCTTTCCCCTCCCCATCCTCACGCAGTAATGTTATAGTCTCACAGCTATTCCTTTTATGTAAGTAAATAGTTATAATAAGAACAATTGGGTTCAGTATATTCCATTGTCATATATATGCATGATTGAATCTAGACAATCAACTTCATATCATACAGAACTGATGATGGGATGAAAGAAGATAGTGACAATCAGCAGCTTTTAGTTTTCGATGTAGGAGTAGGATTTAGGGATCTTGGTTTAGTTTGATGTACATGCGAAACTAAGCTGCAACTCAACTTTACTGTCAACTTTACAAATCTAAACCTAAAAGCACAAACATATTTCCGATCCCTGGCATGCGCAAGGCAAGACATCATCACTTCAATTTTGTGCTTATTTAAATGGGGAAATCTTGGTGCAGTGGAAAAACACAAAGCTTTGTCAGCAATTCATGGCTCAAAGGTTCACACATAGCTATATATAGCTACTGCTTCATTCAGTCTTCAGATCAAATAGACCTTAAGAACATGCTGTTTCTAAGAAAACAAAACTTTGTAAAGTCAGCAGAGATCTGAAGGATCTAGCTAGCTAGCAGAGATAAGGAGCTAGCTATCAGAAGAAGGGTAATAACATCCAGCAAAATATATATAGACCCATGGAGATGACATAATTAAGCACTAGCGCACGTAATTCAAGAAGAGAAGCAAGAAAGTTGTTGAGCATATAGCCAGATCTGTATATGGAGAGGCAAAAATAGCAAGTCAAATCCAACAAATTTACACGCGAAAGATCTAGCTACTACTCATCAGAGCCAGAGGCGCCGCGCAGCTGCTGTTGCAGTTCGTTTCCCCGTTGCAACTAGTCGCAGTCGAAGTTCTACGTAGAGCTCCCCATTTGCGGCAAAACTGAAACTGCACTGCACCCCCAAAGAAATAGCAAGGAAAGAACGGAAAAATGGCCAGGAAAAGAAACGAGGGCAGATCCATCATGCATCGATTCACACACACACACACACACACACACACACACACACACACACACACACACACACAGAGCTAGCTAGTAATAAGAACGCATCCACCACAGCATCGCATGTTCTTACCGATCGATCGATGGGCCTGATGAAAGAGAGATGGGGGTTGGAGATGGGATGATGGGATCAAAGCTTGCCGCGAGGCGATGGGACGGGGTGAGGAAAAAGATAGGGCAACTGCATGGAGAAGCCTCGGGTGCAGCGTGGTTTCCTTTTAAAGAAGGGGAGTAGTGGTTGTGTGCCACTGCCTACTTCTGCACTTCTGCTCACTCATGGCGTGTGCGTACATATGCATTTCAGTCCCTTTGATTTCCTCTTTTAATTAAGAAAAATAGCACGTATTACCAATTTAGTGTTGCTCATGGCGTGTGTATCTACACATATTCATTTTGTGGCGTGCACATAAGCACACATTGCACGCCGCACTAACAGCCAACTTTTGCTAAAGCGTTGAATTTTAGGGCACATGTACTGTAGGGTTTAGAACCCATGCATCAGTCACAAATCAAGCTCTAAGTATACATGGGAAACTTGAGAGAGTAATAGGTGTTTTTGCGGAATGCCCCAAAAGCCAAATCTCAGTGTATCTGTCGTGACATTTTTGCTCTACATTTGTTTAAGGCTAAATATATCGCTAATACACGCATTACCGACCTCGTCACTCGATTTCCCCCTGCCCTTTTCATGCCTCGGCGTATTCTCTAACTTAGCGAGTCCCTAGTGACGCCGCGCCTAGGAGTCTTCGATTCTCTTGAACCCTGGAAAACGTTTAGGGTTTGGGTTTTCGGTGGGGGGTTTCACCAGGACATTGATCATCGAGCTTACAAGGAAGGCCGACATTGGTGTGTGTGTGTGTGTGTGGGGGGGGTGTTAGCAAGGCAAGGAGGCAATGACGTTGTTGTACGTGGGGTGGATAACAACTCTATAGATAGAGCCAGCGCTGGGTAACATTGGCGTGAGGCGGTTGTAAGGTGGTTGCTACACACAGAGTACAAGAGCTCAACATATAACATTAGACTGCCCTTCGGTAAGTACTACCCTACCATAGCATGGGTGGGCGCATGTGCAAGCAATGCCAGACCGCCATGGAAGGAGGCAAAGGCAACCAGAGGTAGAGAAATCTACGAAGTGTTGAATATCAATAACTGTAAAAAACAAAATCGACTGACAGTGTCGCATGAATAACTTGAACTAACTACGGAGCTGAAGGTAGAGGAAACACATGATATGCATGATGGATTTTTTTTCTATGACAAGTCTACTAAAATTAAAGGAATGGTAGTCTACTACCTACATGCACGCAGGCGGCCATGCATATGGATCATGGGATGCATATCTTGCTTAGGGCGAATAATGTGGTTAACCAAAGGTAGTGCTGACCAATTCCAGCAATTAACAGGTTGTGCTAACATCATTTCTAGAACTTCCGTCCACTGGTCTTGCTCATTTCTAGGATCGGAGTACCTATATATCCGAAATCAAACTACGAAATTATGGCAAGTCTGGCACTAGCTATTTATATAATCATAAACATAAACTTTATGCACCGAATGTGTAAGGCACGCATACATAATTTAGTGCTGCGCAAGTACTACTAGTTGATGCCTCTCCTTTCCTAGAGGGCTCGACAGATTCAGCTTGCCATTTCGCCACAAAGCTCTCTACAATGCAGAGCACATCGTCATCCTGGACCTGGAGACCTGGAGTGTTTCAAGAAGCAGCTTGCTCGTATTGCAAGGCTCGCTGCAACTTTAGAACCTTTATCTATTTTGAGACGACGGCGCACGTTGATCTCGGCCTCTCAGGTCCATCGGGACCAAAAGACATCTTGTTTCAACCCCCAAGAAAAAGAAATGCAGGGGGTGGTGGCACATGGATTCATGTTCAGGTCACCAGTGCAATGACTGCGACATACAGGGCATGTTGAAATGAGGCGTGTCAACGCTTTGATTTCGACAGAAGATATATGCTCCAGTTTCAAGCACAGTTACAGAACCCCGTTGATATCTGTCCTGCTTTCAAAACCCTGTGACAGTATTATTTTTCTTTATTGCAAAAAAAACTCACTCCATCCAAAAAATAACTACATACTCGCTTTTTAAGGAGTATTTTTTCAGAAAAATAGATTTATAAAAAATATTATCAACATCTTTATCTTCTAATAGTTTTTCTAAAAATATGTATTCTATTATTATAATGATAATTATTGCATATCATAAATATATTAATATATTTTTGTATGTATTTAGTTAAACTTAATTTTTTTACTTCTAAAAAAACAAGTGATTTCTCAAAAAACGAGAGGTGCAACTATTTTAGGACTTAGAGAGTATATCTAAGTATAGCACATGACAAATCATGGTTCTACAAGACACCTCAACTGCTCAACACACACTCTCCATGATTTCACGTCTGGCAGTAGTTTCACTGCACTTGACATCCTTTAGCCAGGAATGGGGGCCACATGAATGTAATAATGGAGGTCAATTGCATCCACCCAACCTTTGCCTGAATCTTGCATAAACTTCCTCCGTTGCTCAGGAAAGAGTCATTGCTATGAATAGGTGCCTGATGTGTGAAGGAATGGACCTTTGTGCTTGGAGATGGACAAGGGCCCCGGCCTCCACCTCCCAGCCCTACCCAATTTATGGGCGCATGTGGGTCATCTGATGCAGTGTGCTCTGTCTGAATTAGCAACTCCATCAGGCAAGTAAAGCTTTCCAAATCAATTACCTTTTGCTTATCTAGAGAGTAGCAAACGCAAAATAGTACTAATACATGGGCAAGATATATTGTGACATCATATGTGTATGACTCCAGGTTTCCATGCCCTTCCATCAGGAAAACCTGTACGTTATTATAAGCCAAGTAAAAACAAGTTAATAGTTTTTTATAACCACTGAATAATTGGGCAATAAATAATGAGGATGGAAGTGCAACACCTGCAAACGCAAGACAAAAAAGGGGAAAGAAATTGGTGACATAGAGTCATCTGGATGGAGACTTTGCTTTCAGGTTGCCATTGGCGAGGGATAGGCAGACCTCCAATGAATGCTTCCTTTCAACAAGTGAATGAATGCATGAACGTGCTTGCTCTTAAAGTGAATGGCACACACTGCAAATTTATAGAGAAAACACTATTTGTGATTGAGTTCTTGTTACTCAGAGATGAAAGTTGCACTTGGTAGTATGATGAGAGACAAATAATTAACATTAATTAAGGAGGGCCTTCTATTTAATTAATTCGGTTATGTTAGTTCTGGCAAACTGATCATAACTTAGTTGGTTGGGTTCCTTGTGGTGGAACCTGCCTACCCGGGTTCGAGTCTTCGACGGCACGAGTGTTTGCATTTTACTGGATTTAACGGGCTATGCTTTCAGTGGTAGGCGACGTCCCATCGTCGAATTTTTTATTTTTAGCCATTTTTTGAAAAAAAATTCACAAATATGCCTCTGGAGGTAAGATTTCAAAATCTGGATTCTTAGCTCTGCGCCATCGTTGCTGGCGCCGAGCTCTTGGGCTCGAAGTAGACGTGGCGGTGATTTGGCAGGCACCTCGGCGCTAGTAACCCTGGCGCCGAGCTTGACGCCGTAGATCTTGGCGCCGAGCTCAGCGCTAGGGGTATTGGCGCCAAGCCTGTCTTACGTATGGACGCCAATCCTTTCTCTCTTCCTCTCCCTCTCTCTCTCGCACCTCCCTCGCCTCGCCCGAGCAGCGCACCGCCGCCGCCGCCCGCGCCCTCTCCCGCCCACGCCCGCGCGCCCTCGCCCTCGCCCACGCCCGCGCGCCCTCGCCCTCGCTCGCGCCCGGCTGCCCTCGCCCGCGCCGCGCCCCGCGCCCGCGCCGGACCCCGCGGTCGTGCCGGTCCCCGCGTCAGTCCCTGCGCCCGCGCCGCACCCACGCCTCGCCCGACATGCCACCCACGCCCACAGCCGCCTTGGCCGCGCCCCGCCGCGCCGGCGGGCCGCACCACGCCCGCGCCCGCCGTGCCGCCCACGCCTA